GTAACAACGGCCATCCACTTGTAACAACAACTGCCATCCACTTGTAACAACTGTAACAATCAAGATTGTAAAACTATAAGTAGTAGAGCAGAAAAGGAATAAGGGAATGACTCTTTCAGCATTAAACTCTCTCTCTCTCTCTCCTTCCAAGAATTCAGGAGATTGGGCCCTCGAAGAGCCCTGAGTTAGGCAGGTTCCTAACAGGGTGATGGCTCTAGAGTGAGGTTTTGGGAGGACGATTGGAGTGGGGTGGGGAAGTTGTGTGAAATCTGTCCAAGACTGTACAGATTGGCAAGATCATCAGGTCTTAGTAACCCATTACTATAAAGTCAGAGAGGGTAAGGTGATTTGGAGTCCTAGGTTCAGGAGGCCACTGCTTGATCAAGAGGTGGAGGAATGCATCCTTTTATTGGAAAAGTTAGAACAGTCCAATATTTTTATAACAGCTGAAGATGGACTGTGGTGGAAGGAGTGTAGATATGGGAAGTTCACAGTGAAATATTTCTACATGGCTCTCATCAAGGATGAGACATCTTCAGACCAACTTGGAGGGATCTGGGGAGACCCAGTTGCTCCAAGAGTAAAAGCCTTTGCTTGGCTGGCTGCAATGGATAGTGTTCTCACAATGGATCACCTGAAGAGTAGAGGTTTTAATCTGGCCAGCTACTGTTATCCAAGCAAATCTGAAGAAGAAACTGCTTTCCACCTATTTGTTTTTTGTCAACTAGCAAACTTCATTTGGAAACTGTATTTTTTCCTATTTGGGGTTTCCATCTTCCAGCCATCATCAGTAGCTGGACTCTTCTCAAGCTGCCTAAAGTTCAGAGGAGGAAAGAGAGCAAAAATAATTTGGAGCTGTATCCCCTTTGCAGTGTGTTGGTCTCTGTGGGGGGATAAAAAGGAGGTTATTTGAAGGAAAAGAAAGAAACAGTGAAGAGCTTGTGGCTTCAATTGGCAATGTCATCGATTGGGTTCTCTCCCTCCAAGAGTTTGAGCAATTTAGTTATTCAGATTTTACAGAGAATTTCTGGTACATACTTGATATTCAAGCATGCAATATGCATCAGTTTAGTCTTGTATGAAGTGCTTTTGTTTGTTTGATTGTAGATGGGCACTATGGATGCCTGATTGTAATGGGATGTCATCTTGACAACCAATAGCCTTTACCTGTTTTTTATTTTTAATAAAATTTTCTATCTTACCTTTCAAAAAAAGCCTCATGTATCTGACACGGGTACTGTGCCCAATTTGATGTGTCCATGTAGCATAGCTTTATGTAATCTGAATTAAATAACAATATTAGAACTTAAAATAAATACATGTTTCTCAGAATGATATCACATTTGGTTTCATATACAGTCCAGGTGATTATTAAACTTTTTAGTTCTCTTTTGGCATGGGTGATATCATCAAGCATGTATCATTGACTAGCATAAGCAGATGAATTATTCATTCTTATGAGGTGATTCTTTTTGGCTGGTTTCTTGGCAAAATGGCAGGGATCTTGATGAGAAGATGAGAGATGCACTCCATGGGTACATAGAAGAGCGTGGTGTGAATGAGAGTCTCTTTCCATTTCTCCAGGCATGGCTTTATGTGAAGGATCATCGGAATCTTATGCGTTGGTTCAAAACTGTAGGTACTTTTATTAATGATCGGAAGTCAGCTTGAGCTGCAAGATGTTTCTTTCGTTGTATGCTTTATATAGATAGTGCTTTTCACATGGGCAAGTAAGGGAATTTGGGAATGTTAGCTGGTGAATGGAGATGTAAGTTTTAAAATGAATATTCAATTTTAAAAACCATATTAGGATTAATGAAAACTGTTTTCTAATTGTATGGTAATAACTACCTACTTCACAGGTTCTGTATTCTTAATTTTCCATAGTTATTTCAAGATGATGTGCATACTGGCTTACAGAGATAGGATTATAATTTATGGGTAATTTACGAGTTGATGTATGATGCATCTACTTGACATGGTCTTTGAACCAATTACCCTTGAACCTTTTCCCCCAATCTGACCCCGGCCCCTCACCTACATCATACCTTGCTTCCAAAAGTTCAGATCGTTTTTGGGGGTTCATGCTGGCTCCCTATAGGGTTTGGTGTGTCTCCCACTTTCTTTTCCTTAACCCTCTATTTATTCTCCTTAAATTTGTCTTAAAGCATCACTTTTGACAATTGATACTGTTAGTTGAATAGCTGCAATTTTCCCACATCTCATCTTTACATTCTGAATTGCATCCTATTCTATACATTTTATAGTAGATATGATTAAGTGTATAAATTTTCAAAAAATAACAAAGGATCATGAGGCAGTCCATGTGGCTTGAACATGTGGGGCTTAACCAGTATTTTACGATGTATGTATGCAACCATATGCAAGTTTTATGGAATTTCATGTTGGTCATAAAATATTAACCACAAATTAAAGCAGTAAATCAAATGATGAAATGATAACTTACACTTGACTTTTGAGAAATAATGGCAGGATTCTTGAATCACACACATGCACGCATATCCAAGGATTAAGGGCCCTAATTTTTAGACCTATGAGCACTCTATTGACTGAAAATGAGTTACTTACATTCAGATCAATATAAATGGGCATAACTAATTATTGGCCCTTAACAAAAATGTTTATATCCATACCACCTACCTAGTTGGTTGCATAGGTGATGGGCCTTCAAAATGCCTAGGCTATTGCCTGGTCGATGTCTAGGTTATGCCTTAACTGTAAGTCCTACTGATTTTTCTTTAAAGAAAAAAAAAATTCTTACACTGTTGGTTTCTTAAACTTCCAAATGAGAAGTTAACTTTTAAGATCAACCCTATCAAATTTCCTGTCCTTACATGCAAGTCTGAGAATGCAAAGTTTGGCTTGATTTCAGGACAGGAAGTTTCTGCTAAGGCCACATTTGAGCTAATCAACTTGCTACTCAATAAATTGCAGTTCTGTTTGGTTACTGTTGCAGGTGACATTATAGGATGAATAATGTTAGGTGCACTTGAAATCTTGTTGGGGATGATTTTTAGATGTTTTGTTCAAGTCATGATACTTTTGTACCTTGAATCTACGTTTTGGAAGATTGATGTTAGACCTGCCAATGAGTCAAGTCAACCTGACAGACTTAACGAATCCCACTCCATCATACAGGGTCCAGGAGAGGTCCTTGTTCTGATTGGTTGGATCTGGGGCTGATTTTTGAGACCTGATAATAATTGAGTTGGTAATGGGTCAAACCCTGTCCTGAACTAATAACCTAACAGTGCTATTAAAATTGTCAACCAGTTATTTACTAGTCAACCAGCCAGTTAGTTGAGGGTCATACTACATCACTAACCAGTCATTGGATACCTATTATGATGTGGTTACTTGGGTTGAATAAGCATCAAACCAGGCTACTAGTAGGGGTTCTGCTGTGCCAGGCTTCTGTGCCTATGACTTTAAATACATTATATTGAATGTATATCTACTTTAGGCCTGGGGTTGGGCCCCCAAATTTCCAGGCCTGATGCGGGCCTGGGCCCAGGCTGGGCCTGAGGACAAAACCCAGGCCCAAGCCTGGAAATTTGTGGTCCAGGTTGGGCTGGGCTAGAAACGATCACCCCTATTTACTAGGTTGGTTGACAACTAGTTTGCCTGCTTGATCTAGTCAACTAGAAAGTTTTGTCTTAAAGCTTTATTTGCTTACTTTATATCTAATTATTTAAAATACTATAACATATGCTTTTACATGTTATACGAATGCTACTTTCTTAAATATCCATGATCCCTTGGTTGGGTAATATATAAGAAAGATGAGTTCTTTTAGGTCTTCTTTCAACCAGTAGTGTGCTGATATGGAGTTACCACAAACAAGAGGACCACACCAAGTATTCAATGTTGCACTTTTTCTCTGTAAAACATAGACCATTACTCCTTATGTTAGCACATCCACCCTTTTATGTTTTCAACATGAAGATTGTAAACAAATGCTCTATTATCATTCTTTGATCACATATTTGCATTCTATATTAGCTTAATATGAGATTGAATAAATATCTTATTTTTTTAATGGATGCATCAATATCTTAAATTTACAAGATATCTTTTTTATGGTTGACTAATCAGTGCCTAGACATTGACTATTCACTGTCTAAACAACTAGTCATCACCAACTGAATTGACAACACTGGGACCTGACATGTGCATATATTGATTATATATTAAGTAGATGACAGAGCTCCTACCTTTTTTATTTATTACTTTCTTATGTGTAAGTGTAATACCTTAAAATAGTATGTCTAAACATGTCATTTACAAGATTTATTATTAAATTACTGGGTTTATTAACCCAACCAAGTTTATTATTAGTTTCTTATAAAACAAACTACAAGTTTTCACACTTATGAATTAAATTATAACTGGGTCTTATTGGGTCAGACCCGATAAGCATGATCAGTAGTAGCATTGGTTCTTGGCCTCTTACTGACAGACTCTATATGGTCTGGTCAGGACCGGGTCTAATGAACCAATCCGTCGACAGGTTTAGTTGGTGGTCAATTTGTTATGGGCCCGCGAATAGGATCTCGTCACGGGTCGGTCCACGGGGGAAACCCTCTGTTTTCCCTTGTTCCTCCCTGCTCTTGATGAACCTATCTAGGCGCCCTAATGGTGATTTGTTCAAGAGATCACCTAACTCTCCTTTACTCTCTTTCTTGATTGAATATTCGATATCCTCATTCAATAATGGTGTCTCCTTAAATAGGAGATTACAAGAGTCCTAATCTTAGGGAGTCTCCTTGCTRAATAGGGAGACTTCCAATTCTATCTTGCTAAGGATAAGATAAGCTAATCCTAATCTGATAATAAGATAAACTAATCCTAATCTGATAACAAGATAAACTAATCCTAATCTGATAATAAGATAAACTAATCCTAATCTGATAACAAGATAAAGTAATCCTAATCTGATAATAAGATAAACTAATCCTAATCTGATAACTTACTAACAAGATAAGTTAAGAGCAATAGAATAAGATAAGAACAAGCAAGATGATCTAATATAATCTGGCGGTGGGTCAGGTTCCTGTTGCTGCTGGCGGCGATGTATGTCTTTCCGAGGAATGCGTCCATAACACAATTAGTGAGTGCTTACAGGACAAGACATTAGGAGAATGGTACTAGATCAGACTGCATTTGATTGTACCAAAGTGCTTCAAAATGTGTGAATAATTTACAGGGTCTTGTGCATCAGAATCTGGTTGTTTTCCTGTGGTTTTATTTAGATTTGAGTCTGTGATTAGAGAAAGCTTCAATATGATTTTCATAATGCTTAAGCTAGAATGCACATTTTATAGTTCTACTAGCTAAAAATAGGCTACTTCTAGAATCAATGTGGTCCGTCCTTACTCTTTTGGATAAATGTTTGCAAAATCAACATTTAAAGGTTTTGTGATCATGTTGGTGGTAACATCTAGCTTCAACTCCAAAGATTTCTAATCTGGAATAATTTGGTTCCAATTTGGACCATTAACATGAGTCAGATAAATGAGCCAACTAGTGTTATGTTGTACTTGACATATGTATGCATTATCAGCCTAGAAATTTTGCATCTGCCTGCTTGCCAAAAGGGGCTCAAAATTCACTGTCCATAGTCCATACATTCAAGTTTTAGTTAAGAAAATTCAGCTGTATGGAAATAGAAAACCCTTTTCTCATTTTATGCTGAAAAATTGGAACTCCAGTTGCTGGATGGCTTAGGGCAAGATTCCAAATGAAAATGGGTTGTGACTGCTGTCTAGTGGGCACTGAATATCTTCCAATTGAGAATGTCCATAACAGATTGTCTGTTGTTGCCTGTATCATCTACTCATGTGAAAGGAACTCAAAACTAATTAATGATCTTCTAAATGCATATATGATACACATCTGCAAATATCTGGCTTTGTTTTTGATTGTTATCTGAATCCCCTTACATTGAACTTCCTTTTGGCTTTTGCTATGAGAAATGTGGAAGTAGTGCTTCTGTGACAGAGCTCTGGTTGTCTTTATGCTTGTAGTTTGCAAAATGAAAACAACATGCATTTACCAGGTCTCAGACTATTAGGGGGTGGCTGTGATTCTTTAAGTTCCTAAACTTTATTTTCTTGGTTGAAGGCTGAAACATTTTGTATTGTTTTTTGATATGACTTTCAGTGCACTGTAGACTTCTCCCTGGCCTATATTTACCTTATTGTGAAGAATGGATGGTTGAAGTGGCACAAACAATTAGACATACAGAAAGTGTAAGAATGGAATGAAAACTGCTAGCTATAAATAAGCTGAAGTTGAACTTTGATGGTACTCTTTGGGCAATCCGGGAAGAGCAGGTATAGGGGGATATTATTTTTTGATAATTGAAAATTGATTTCATTAATCAAGAAGAATAAAACTTTACAAGCATCCCTTGGAGAGGCACAAGATGCAGCCTCCCCTAAACATTACAAGTGGTCAGAAAATAAAGATTACAAAGCTGCCCAAAATAACCGGTCCCTAGCAGACCCTTGTTTAGCAGGATAATCAGCCAAAGCATTTGCCTCCCTACCCACCCACTGGTATCTACACGTTATGTGTCTTGTTAAACATTTAACTTTTTTGATGTGATCCCTATAACTCCAAACAACTAAGTCAGGATTGGAAAACCGGCCTACAATCACCTTAGAATCCCTTTCAATTAATAAGTTCTCTGCTCCTAGTTGGTTAGCAATTTGAATTCCTTGTACTGCAGCCAACAACTCAACTTTTGTAGAATCCCCTATCCCCACCGGGTCTGAGAATAAGGATATGATGTTTCCGTCAAAATTCAGTTTAATAACCCCTTCTGGAGGAGTTACCCAAACTGTT